TTTGGATTACACCTGCACACATCACACTGAAGCTTAGTGATCGAATTGATTCATTGTTGTATTTCATTTCTGGACATTGGTTTTAACTCTGCATTCATACTGTGTGTTGATCATCTGGAAAAGATTTTTTCAAAACCTTTTCTGTTGTGTCCATGAGTACGGGCCACTCTTTTACAGAATCCGGAATAGGTTCGAGGGTCGAATTATCGCAATTCGATAGAAAGGGGGACTACTCAATTTGGAAACAGAAAATGAGGGCCATTTTAGTCCAACAGAGAGTTGTTAAAACTCTCGATGATCCTTCTACTTTCTCTGATGAGTTAAAAGCTAAACCATGTGAAATTGAAGACATGAATGAAATAGCATATAGTTTTATAATTTTGCATTTATCCGATAACATTGTTAGACAAGTTGATCATGCTAAAGATGCTAGAACGTTGTGGACTGCCTTAGATACCCTATTCTTGACTAAGACTTTACCTAACAAGATCTATCTGTTAAAAAAGGTGTTTAGTTTTAAGATGGACCCGGGGAAGGATGTAGAGGAGAATTTAAGCGATTATAGCATAATTGTGAAGAGTTTGGCTCATAATGATAAAAAGCTCGATGTTGAGGATTTAGCTGTCATATTATTAAATTCATTGCCGAATCTTATAAAGAAATCAGAAATGCCATAAAATATTGTAGGGACACTATATCGCAGGCTATTGTGGTAGACGCATTGAAATCTAGAGAACTTGAACTAAAAAGAGACAACAGAACTAATTCTATATAAGAAAGTTTGTTTGTTAGGGGAAGACTTGAGAAGAAAGAATTCAACTTCCATAACAAGAAGTGAAGGGATAAATCTAAAATGAGATCAAAATCTAAAGACAGAAAGAAATGTTACAACTGTGGAAAGTTGGGGCATTTCAAAAAAGACTGCTTTGATTGGAAAAAGAAACAAAGAGACTTAAACAATACTGATCAAAACAATGCTGCTGTTGTTTTTAAATTTGATAATCTACATGACCTGAATGTGTTTGAGAGAGAATTTGATAAAAATTGGATCCTAGACACGGGATGCACCTTTCACATGTGCCATGAAAGATCTTGGTTCCATAACTATCGAGAGGTTGAGTCTAGGAAGGTCTACATGGGAGACAACAACTCTCAAAATGTGGTTGGAGTTGGTGACATAGCCATCAGGATATACGATGGGGTTGTCAGCCAACTCAGGGAGGTTAGATATGTCCCTAATTTAAAGAAGAACCTCATTTCCTTAGGTACTCTTGAAGATGAGGGATATATTTTTAAATTCGGTAACAACGTTCTGAAAATCTTTAATGGATCTCTGATAGTTATGAAAGGACCCAAGAGGAATGAGCGTACTATCTAGAGGGCAAAACTGAAACAACACTTGATTCGAGTCTTCTTGCTGTTAGTAAAGATAAAATCAAACTTTGGCATAACAGAATGAGTTACATTGGGTTTAAAAGGGCTAAAATCCTTAAGTAATCAGAAATTGCTTGGAAATGATGAAATTGAAACTATGGATTTCTGTGAAACGTGTGTTTTGGGTAAATCTCATAAGGTTAGCTTTGAAACTAGCTCTCATAGGACCAGCAGTCCATTGGACTATATTCATTCTGATCTATGGGATCTTGAGAAGCATTCCACATTTGGTGGAAGTAAGTACTTCTTATCATTGGTGGATGATTACTCAAAAAAGTTTAAATCTATCATTTGAAGGCTAAGTTGGAAACTTTTGGGAAATTCAGAATTTGGCTTACGTCTGTTGAGAATCAGTTAGACAAGAAACTTAAAACATTTAGAACTGATAATGGGTTTGAATTCTGCAATTTTGAATTTGACAACTTTTGTAAGCAAAAAGGGATAACAAGACACAGAACCGTTAAATAAAGACCTGAACAGAATGGGGTCGTCGAGAGAATGAATGGGACCATAATGAACAATGTTAGGTGTATGTTGATTAGCTCTGGCCTTGCTAAAGGTTTTTGGGCTGAAACTGCAAGTACTGCAGCCTATCTGATTAATAGGTCACCATCCAGCAGTATAGGGTTTAAGACCCTACATGAGTTGTGAACGGGGGAGCCTCCAAATCTAAGTCACCTAAGGGTGTTTGGATGTGCTGCATTTGCACATCAATCTGAAGGGAAACTTGAGTCTATGGCTGTCAAGTGTGTGATATTAGGGTATCTAAAGGGTGTGAAGGGCTATAGGTTATAGGTTTTAGGGGTTCAAGGCATTAAGATTATTAACAGAAGGAATGTAGTCTTTAATGAATCTGAAATGCCATGTCTAAAACAGAAAACTGATGAAGCCAACAAATCTGAAACTGAAAGGAGTGTTCAGACTGAGGTGAAGCTTACAAAGCTTGATCCACCTACACCTAGGAATGATAACAATGACCCTACACATTACGAACCTTAAATTGAAACTGAAACAGAACCTGAACATGAAGAGGTGACTTAACTTCAAGATAACATTGAACCAGTTGAAGTTGAACATTTTAATGATCAGCCACCTAATCAAGATTACCAGCTTACTAGGGATACGGTTAGAAGGCAGATCAGGCCTAATCCGAGATATGAATCCCTAAGTTTGACTGATTTTGCCTTAGTTTTAGGTGAAACCCTTGAACAGATAGAGCATGCTACTTATGAAGAAGTTATTAATGGAAATTATTCTGAAAACTGGATAAAAGCCATGCAGGAAGAAATGAAATCTTTGAATGATAACAAAACCTGGAAACTTGTTAAGAAACCTAAAGATCAGAAATTAGTTCCATGTAAGTAGATCTACAAGTTAAAAGAAGGTTTGATCCCTAATAATCCTGTGAGGTATAAGGCGAGATTAGTGGCTAAGGGTTATACTCAAAGAGAGGGTGTGGACTAGAGGAAAGTCTGATTATGTGTACAAGTTTGAGAAATCTTTGTACGGGCTGAAAAAGAGCCCAAGACAATAGTACGAGAGGTTTGATGCCTATGTACTAAATATAGGATTTAAAAGAAGTGAATTTGATGCTTGCTTGTATTTTAATGACATAAAGAGCGGTTTTGAAGTCTACTTGTTGCTTTATGTCGATGATATGCCTTTAGCTGGACCTAGCAAGTCTCAAATTAAAGAATTGAAAGAGCTTTTAAAATCGGAATTTGACATGAAGGATTTAGGGAATGCTAGAAAGATTTTAGGGATGGTGATAACAAAGGATATGGCTAAAAATAGGTTAACAATTTCACAAGAAGCTTATTTGAACAAAGTAGTAACAAAAGTTGGAATGAAAGACAGTAAAATTGTTAATGTGCATCTTGCTACTCATATGAATTTTTCACATGATCATTTACCTAAATCCAAGTCTGAATTGAAAGAGATGGAAAATATTCCGTATGCTAATGCCATAGGTTCTGTCATGTTTACTATGATAACTACCAAACCTGATCTTGCATTTTCCATCAATCTTCTGAGTAGATTTATGTCCAACCCTGATAAGCCGCATTGGTGGGTATGAAATGGCTATTGAGGTATCTGGTTGAGACTTTAAATCTAGGCTTAGTGTATGAGAAAAGATCTGAGAAGTTGATTCTTAAAGGGTATGTTGATTCAGACTTTGCTGGTGATAGAGACAGTAGGAAATCAACCACGGCTTATTTCTTTACTCTAGGTGATAACTGCATAACTTGAAAATCTCAGTTGCAACCTTTAGTGACTTTGTCTAGTACGGAAGCTGAATATGTTGCCATAACGAGGCGATTAAGGAATGTATCTGGTTAAAGGGAATCTTAAAAGAATTGAACTTCATGCATGATATACCTATTATGTTTACTGATAGTCAAAGTGTGTTGTCACTTAGTAAGAACCCTGTTTATCATGAGAGATCTAAACATATTGAGGTGAAGTATCATTTTATACGTGGGAAGCTTTCTCAAGGTGAAGTCGAACTTGTTAAGAATCACACTGATAGGAATCCATCTGATGTGGGAACTAAAATTCTACCTGTAGGAAAATTTAAATTATGCTTATCTTTGCTGCATATTGATACTGGTTAATTTTTCTTGCAGGTAGTGGACGATGATGATGAACGGTTCTTCCATGTGCAAATTCGCAACTGAGAGAGTATGTTATGAGAACCAAGGTGAAGAATGTGGACTTTTGTGGTTCTCCTAACCCATTGGATTGACCCGGTTTGTGCTATTTTTTATCTTGACCATTGGATCTGGTGGACTGTTGGGATTGATCTTGCTTGAGATATTTTCTTGGCTTGACTTTTGATACACTCTCACGTGGGTTTGGCTTCCTCAATACTCTTCTCTCTCACCTTCTTTGATAAAAAGCCCTCTTCTCTTCTCGGATGAAACTCTCCTTCTTCCCATCCCTTGATACTCACTGTAAACCCATTGTTGAGTGACTCTTGAGTATTACCTAGGCATGAAATAGAGCTGGTCGAGGCCTCGTGTAAGGCTTAAGTCAGTGTGTTAGGGGCGTAACTTTGGCTGTTTTTGGTAGACCGTTCGGTCGATGATCCAAGCCAAGTGTTGACAGGTTCTTGCACTCTCTATGGAAGGCGATTTGCAAGCGTGGGAAGCTGTTCCTGAGCCTAGACATTTCCGCTGAAATAGGAGGAAGAGCTCGAGAAAGGGAAGTAACATTCTGCCCTGTTTTTCTTTATCTCGTTTATGATCAGTTCTTAGTTCTAGGATTTTATGATTTATGTCGACTTCTCCATGTCATGATTATGCTAGATTAGATTGGTGAATGCTGATTTCAATATATGTTAATGTATGCTGGAATTCTTGTGATTGCTTAATCCGTTGGTTATTAAACTGGTTTATTGGATATTGAACTGGGATTAGTATCTGTTGATGTCTGTATATTGCTGGTGTAATTCCCAACTGTGCGATTTTACGTTGGTAAATTGTTCGCTGGAAGTGCTAAAAATCAGAATTCCTTATTTATAACCATCTAAGTACATTAGTGACATTAAAAGAAGTAGATTGTTCCTATCTCCAGAAGAAGTGTTGCACAGAAGCTTGCCATGAAAGTATAAACACGAGCATGATCAAAATACTGGCAAGTCCCCAAGAGGAACTCCCGATTCTGAGCACCGTTGACTCGTCTGGACATGTAGCTACTGATTTTCCACTCCCTCTCTGCATTGAATTAAATGAAGTGGTTTTAATGGCAACAATCAATCCCGCGAGCACCACAGGTAGAACAAAGCCAGAGCTCCACCCCACCTCGTGACGGCTTTCATTTTTCCGGTCTACGTACAATGGAGAAAGCACCACCGCAGACACCGTGGCTAGAACCATGGCTACTCCTCTTGGAGATGAATTTTGATATGAAGAATAAGCAGAAGTTGCCATTGAAAGACTAAAGAAAAGTAAGTATGAATGTTGGTTTCTTGTCGGTATAAGAAAACCAACTTGATTCCGATACAAGTCTAAGAGGAGGATTTATAGAAGGAAGGAATATAAAGCTGTCTAGGTGGAATGATTCAAAACGGATGGAAAAGTGAGTGGCAGCCGTCCAAAAAGCAAAAAGTAAAAGAGATAAAAGGATTAGTTATTGAACAATGCTTGTGGAACAGGAAAAGTAAAAAATGATGTTTAGGTTTGGATGTGGCCACTAGCCATGTAAATGGGAATTTAGCTGTCAATTAATAGTTACTTAAAGATGTAATTTCCGCGTTAAAAGCACGATTAAAGAAACAGTTTTCATATTAAAGTTTCAATAACAGTAAAGTAGCTTTTCAAATCTGTAATAGACATGTATTTTGATGTTCTTCACTTGAAAGGAAAAATAAAAAGATTGTGATGTTCTTGTACTCGAACAATATCACTACGTACTTTGATTTTCCAGAAAGGAAGTTGATGTTCTTGTAAAGTTTGTCATCTCTAAAACACCGTTGGTTCCTGGTGATCACACTAGGCACTGCATAAATATCGCTTCGATTTATCCCTGATTCTTGTCACCAATGAGACCACCGATATCTGGAAAATCATAGATATAATTGGATTGATGCATATGGTTCGATGAAAGATTTGTAGCAGGTGTAGCATTACTCGAACTGGATAAGAATGGTTCATAATGAGGCTGATCGGAAGGCACCATTGGTGCAATAGGTCAATTTCCATGTCCACCATCATTTGGCATAGATTCGTTTTCAGGAGAGATTTCATGGCTCTCCAGGGGCTTGAAATGGAGCGACGAAGTGTTGCCTAACTGAGGTAAAGACCCAAATTTTCTTGGTTTTTCTTGGGAAGGAGTACAAGCCGGATGAGATTTTCGCTCTCGGGGACGCTCTTGGGGACCTAGCCAATTGTGATTCCGACATTTCTGCATGCAAAATGAAGAAAAGATAATGTTACAAGAGTGGATTAAACTACAATCCCTATGCCCAAGAGCGAGTTAATTCGAAAGAATGAATAAGAAAACGAGCAGAACACACAAAATTGATGATGGTTCACCCTCAATTGTGAAGAAGAATATTAGTTTTTCCAAACACCTATCTTGTACACAACACAGTCCAACAAAAACTGAATGAAATTTGAATTACTTGAAGCCTATTGTCATTCAACGTGTAGAAAGAACAGACCTGGAGATGGCTGGCTATTTGCATTCTTGTTAGACCAGGGACCTTCATTAGCTCTTGGATCTCCTTAGGGAAACATCCTATTTTGCAAATTAAAACAAGAAAAGATACAAAAAACCAAACTGAATTGAATAAATTATTATAGCAATGGTAAACACCAAATACATACTTCCTTCACCAAGCTGTGCTATAGCATCCATAAATTTTTCATGAAGTTCTTGAGTCCACTGAATGTGTGTCTTCCTCTCAATCCTTTTTTTACGATTCTCCAAGTCATATTCTCCATCCTCGTTCACGTTGTTAACTTCAATGGCATTGAATCTTTCTTTTTCCTTATAAATCTGTTTCTTCACTCTCAGAACATGCTGCCACAGGCAGGACAGCATCTCCATTTTTGCCGGTTTTGTCATACATAGGAAAGCTCCATTTTGCAGAGCACTCATTGCCATGAATGCATCATCCTCATCAGACATCACTATATTTAGAAAGAACTGCGACAGCTTAATTAAATTTACAAAAATGCTACTTGTACATCAAGAATTATACATCAAGGTGTCCATCACACTCACATAGGAGTAGGACCCACTTGTACATCACACTCACATAGGGGTGGGACCAACTTGTATAAAATATTTTTTTATTCAAGTGGGTCCCACCCCCCATGTGAGTGTGATGTACACGTCGATGTACACCTTGATGTACCGGTAGCAAAACCGTTAAATTTAATACAACTATTGGAAGGAAAGAAACACTTACGAATTACTGGTAAGTTCATAACAACGCCCAGTTGTAGAAGATTAAAACCGTGCAAGTCAGGAGAGTTGATATTTGCCATTATAAGATCGAAATGTGAATTTCCACTTGAAAGCAATGATAAACCCATGGAAGCAACTTCAACAGATGTAACTGAAATCAAACATAACAAAAAATGCTTTAAGATTTTCTCCGATTATTGTAAATTTTACAAAGGTATATAACTCCTGTTACCTTTATATGAACACAACTCTAGCATTTTTTTTGTAGAAATTCGACCCTCATAATCATGGTCGACTAACAACACATGAATATCTTGTATGAGTGCATGGTATGAAACCTTTGACATTCTTTGACCATTATTTATCGAAAATTTCCTTAATTCTAGCATGGTGTATTCACTTTAGACGAGGAATGCACTGTTGTAAATTGGTTGATGACGAGATAGAAATGAATTATTGAGAAATTCAGTGAAAAGGAAAAAGAGGACCGCTAGATACTTTCATTAAACAAATTTCCGGACTATATATACACATTCTTTGTGTTAGGATTGTCATAGAAAGTTATTTATTTTTTGACAAAGATAGGAATTTTTCTTAATGAAAATTCTATAATTACTTATTTAGAGAGAGGTTTTGTAGGTGGTTAAATTCTACTCAATCCGTATAAGGTAGATTTCCCAACCAATGCAATTTTTTTTCATAAAATGGCTTTGGCCAATATATTTCTCAGTCGTTGGTCTATTTTCCTGTTCATTCATGACCCGAATTGGTCAAACTTTCACTTTCATTGATAATTTTACCTTAAGTATTTGGTAAATACTACACGGAATTGACCAAAAAAGGCCTTTATGTTTTGTTGAATAGCTCGCAGTAATACTTGTTTAAAGTTATTACGGTCGGGGACTTTAATTTCACAACATGTCTGACCAAACAAGAGAACTGAAAAGCCAAGAACCATACAACGATAGGTTTAGGAGTTTCAAAATGAGACTAATAAGGGTAACAGTCGCAGTTTGGTTGAACTTCATCTCTATATGGTGTAACTAAAGCATATGAAGAAAGCCTAAAATAACAAAATAAATAGCATAGCCCCAAGCCTGTGCCTCCTCGCCGTGCTCAGCCTTCCTCTCCAGTCCACCTTCGGGGGTCTAGTTGAGCCTCAAATGCATAGAATGCATCCTTGGTTGCACCATAACTGGAGTTTGAAAATTGTACGAGGGATGTTAGTCATCATTCACTTGCACATCTATCTTCCACAATGAGCAAAACGAAACCGGCTGTCCTTTCCAATACAGGTTCATACACACATCTTTCTCTTCTACTCTAATCTCCCAATTGTTGTCGTACTTCCTCAGCAATGACTTAGCTCCATCAATAGTCTCCTGTCCGAACACTTCCCCAATGAATCCAGCACTTCTCATTCGCTCGCACCATTTCTCTTTTCTTTCATTCATTTCACCTGTGTTTATCAGTGCCTTTGCTGCCTCTGCTTCCATCATCCTTCTTTCCTCGCTTTCTCGTCCTTTGTATGCAACACTCGTTGAGTCCAAGAACCTCCACAAGTATTCCACTCGCCTCGATAATCCAGTTGCAAAATCCCCACAGTTTTTGCAGCTACAATCTATGTTATTTTCACTTACAATCACGCCTTTGGGATCCAAACTCTTCAGTATTTTTAGAAATGCTGTTCTTTCATCAGGAGTACTATGGTTTAGGTTGTGCAGGCTAAATTGTGCACAGATTATCAAGGTTTCTTCTGAGGAGTTAATCAACTGGGAATTCAGATTCTGCAATGGGATATTCTCCAATTTGTTGATCTGTAAATTGATGTAGTTGGACTTAGCAAAAGCAAGGAGATGGGAGGAGAAGTCGTAATTTGGCGGGCCATTTGCAAATGGAGTGCTTCTCAACTGATCACTGTCAATGCTAGGGGTAACAACGGTCAGCCGGACCAAGGGAGGCGGACCACCTGATCGACGAGATAAATCTACAAGGAGCGTTGGCCATTGAACGCCATGAGATACTCCTATATCAAGGATATGAAGATTACTTGGTCGAACCTGTCCTGTGAGGATTTGGAGTATTGAAGTATTGGCAACGTTGTTTGGGATCCGGAACCAGGGACTTATGTCATTGAATTTGATCAACGAATCCTTGAAGAATTTCGAGTTGCTAGAAGAAAAAGTACTACCACCTGCTGAAGCAGAGGAGATGCCAGGGGAAGAGAGGTAGTGTATCAAGGCGTGGAGGCCATGAGCAGCTAGCCGTTGGTTAGCATCACCTTCAAGGGATGACAGGTCACGCAGCACGTGCAAGAAGTGCTCAACGCGGGATGGATTTCGAGCGGTGATGGCAGCAGCACAGGGATTGAGCAGATGTTCTGCCCACCTGCAATCTTTGTCACCATTGTTACAGTTATTTCCACCTGCTTTCTTGGTTGCCTTTTTGCTCCCAGTTGATTTTCTGGATACCTCCCCATGTTCGGCAATTGCAAACCCATCATCAGCGTTATTGATCTGCCGGTTGTGGTTCTTCCGGGAGCTTTGTGATGATATAGGACTCGAATTATCTGGTACTTTACGTTTCTTTGGTAAGTCAGAAGATAGTTGTTGATCAGAAATTAGTAAGTCGGCAGGGGTTGTGGTAGCAGGAATGGTGCTGTCAATGGATTCGTGTTGTAGACTTGGACAGTGCAGCCACCACGAATCGCCACAAAAATCCCCGGCTTCAAATGGATCATCAGAAAACGTAGATAAGTTCGAAGATCCATCTATCCATCCTAAGATGTTTTCAGAATCGTCATTTGGCTCGATTGTCATGGTTTGGAAAATTGTCGTCGGAGCTGGATAGGGAGGCAAGGAAGTATAATAGAGCATTTGATAAGTAATCAGGAGAGGCCATTTATGGGTACATGGCTAGTTTAAAATAATGAATAGGGCTTTGATATATTCGGGAAGAGACAACTTAAGGCATATTCAAAGATTTGGGTTGCTGTCATTTTGGATTTTATTAATGTTTTAATTTCATTGAAAATCGTTTTCATTATTTTTAGTAACATATTCTTGTTTAAGTCAGTTGTTGAGACTTGCAGACAAAGGTTGACAGGGAAAATACTTATTCTTGGGTTATATAATGGGCCTGGGTTTGAATCTTTAACAGAGGGCTAACAACTCTTCAAACATTCATTTCTTTAAGAATCTTTTGTGCAGAAAATGGCTTGTGTCAGGCCAATGGCGTGCTAGGTTCGGTCATGAAAACAACCCAATTTTCATGTGAATTATTATCAAATGTTAGATAATCCTTACCAAATCAAGCCTTCTGTCCCACACTGGAGGCTCCGGCCGGAGCATCATTAATCGTCGGTTTTCCATGTGCTAGCATTAGCCCAGATAGTACCATATGTAACTTCAGCATTGAATTCTTAGCAACATATTCTTATAACCCAAGAATGGGCGTTCCTAGACTCGATATTAATCCACGTATAAGCAATCATTTTTTTTATAACCGTGGATGTCCGAACCAACTTGCGCGCACCTCGACTAATCCCACGAGGCCCTAAAGTTTACAACCGGGGTACTTACTTTAGTGGCCTGAGGGGACTCGAGCTAGTGATCATTGAAGAGCAAACTCAATGTCTGACCAATTGAGCAACCCCTCAAGATTATGTATAAGCAATCTAAACCATGAAAATATCCAAAAAAACAAAAAAGTAAAGACTGAACGATAGATCATTAGGGGTGCAATGATGGAAAACTACAGATTTTTCTTCAAACAAGAGTTAGCTTCCAAGAAATCAGCAACTCTGCACAACCCTCAAATTCTACTACTGGCATGGAAAATATCAGGATAAAGAAAAGGGATAACGTGTACCTTTTCAAAGCTTAGCTAAACAAAGGCAGATTAGATATCATGTATTTCATATAACACAGAACGCTACAATCATAAATATAGTACTACTGTAAGAATAAGCCAAGCAGTCAATGTCAGAAACCGTTGATTATAACTCATCTTCATTACTTTTTTTTTTTTGATAACCGTGGATGTCCACGCCAGTTTGCCCGCACCTCGACTAATTCCACGGGGCCCTTAAGTTTACAGTCGGGTACTCACCTCAGTGGCCCTGAGGGGACTCAAACTGGTGACTATTGAGGAGCAAATCCAAGGCCTGACCAATTGAGCAACCCCTCAGGGTTAACTCATGTTCATTATTAAGATAAGCTCTTGTTCTTAAATTACATTTTTTTGTTCAACGAATGAGCCATAATATTTGCCTCAGACCACAACAATTCCAAGTCAGTTTTGTAGAATCGACAAAGAGGATATGTTTTGCATACTAGTCAATCCTTTTCCCTCTCCAACAACAAAAACATTTCCCGTGAACGGGCAATGCATAAAAGAAATACATATAGCCAGTGAAGGCAAAGCATCAGTAGGCTATTTGAAGGCTTAGGATCAAATGAACTTAACGAGCTGAAACTTAGCACAATAATAATTCTTGAATGATTTCCAACAAAAATTCATCCTTGGGAGTATATAAACATTATACAACAGCAACAATCTGAGTTAGCATATAATTGTTTTGAAATCTAAAGCTACCATTACAATGCTACGATAAACAGTCTGTAAGTAAAAGAACACTAAACATCGCATGAGGAAACCATGAATTGAACGTAACATGAAATCAATCATATAGTAATTACTACCTGGGGTTTATATAAGCACTTCCACCGTAAGAGTAAGATGATCCTGGATCTATGCACAAGAAAAAGGTATATAAATTCCTTTAACAAAGAACTAAAAAGACATCCAACATCTTGATGTAGTTTTCTTCAACTAACAATTAGGTAGAGAAAATTCTTTTCACTTCTTAAACTTTTAACAAAAAAATTCTACAAAACTACCACTCACAGCATATGTAGACAAGAATCCCAAGAAATGGAAACTACTTATTCTAACCGAACATATAACCCACCGAAAAGAAAGATAAGATAACAAACAAATGCAAGAAGAGAAAGACATAAGAACACGAGAAAGAAACTCAAATGTGCAGCTTTTAGTGAACAATTTGTGCCTATGGGTTAATGACTCCCATTTAGACAATCTCCCATCATAACACTATTTTCCCGAAGATAGCTTATCTTGGTTCACAATCCAACCATGCAGCAATCCAACTGATTTTTCTAATAGAGTCAATACATACTTGCCATAAAATTTCAGTACTGCAATCATAAATTTGATACTCAAGACAAAAAGGTTTTCACAAAAAAAATTCTAAATCAGTGAATACACTCTGTACAATGTACACAATATGATATCAAAGAAGAAAAACACCTTCTTTAATCCATTTGCTATGTTAATGAATAAACAATGATAACCTGTAAGAAAAAGAATACTAATGAAGTTTACAAATTCTCTTGATCAGTGACCAAGATGTGAATACTTTGATTAATTATGAAATCTCATGATGTATCACCATTCGCTTCAATCCATCATCGTAATTGTAAGCCTCAATCCAGTGTATCTCCATCGAAGTATTCTCCACCAAGAAAAGAGAATTAAACATAAAAATTGCAGATGGTGTTATTTGCATAGAATGTGGTGTTCTGTTTGGTTTAATAGTCACCATTGGCCTTTGAAATTTGTCTTCTCCTGATCAACAAAAACGCCACCACACAAACTTGCAAGATGGCAACAACTCCCACAAATATCAACCCAATTTTCTTCCCCTCGTTAAGGTTATTTGGCTTCGCCCGTGTCGATTTTTGAAGTGAATACTGGTGATTGTGATCCCTATGCTTCGAGATTGCATCATTTGGAGGAGGTGGGCGGAGGCGTTTCTTTGAAGGGGGTATAGGAGGGCGAGGGGAAGGCTGGGGAGGCCACTGGGATTCAGATGGAGGTAGTGGAGCAGGCAGGAACGGAGACGGTGGAGGCGGATTTTGTGGACGTGGTAGGGTAACAAGTGGTGGTGGTGGTGGTGGTGGTGGCGGCGGCGGAGGGTGCGGATGCGGATGCGGAGGAGGAGGAGGATGTAAAACGTTTGGCGGTGGAGGGTTCACATTTTGTTGAGACTCCGCAATGAGTGGAAAGAAACCAAAGAAAAACCCCAAACAAGCAATTAGCAAAGCGAATAATGGAAAATCCATATAATCATACCAATCAATTGGTTATGAGGTTTGCACTTTGAAATGGTTTAAATCCTGACCTGGGAGATTACGTCGAAGATCTGGTTCCCGAGAATCGAAGAAAAGCGAGGAATGCCTGGTCCCCAAATGTTGATTTCTTCGATTTTACAAGAAACGTCCAAAGATAATTCAAGAAACTAGGGTTCAATCAATACATCGGATAACTGATTCACAGTTCTTGGTCAATGCTAGCAATACTGAAGTAAACTCAAATCGGGGATATTGAGATGTGATGTTTTCGTTGTTCTGTTCTAGCATATCTCTTCTTCAGAAATGGAGGAGAAAGAACGGTGGCCGACAACGATTGGTCACTTGGGATTTTTTTAAGATTAATGCTATTCATAGTCGCTTACGGCAGCAATCGTTCTATTGGCACACACATGAAATGTAGTTATTTAATACATTAATGTGGTAGTTATTTGACCACATTAATACATTAAATACACACTTAACATGTGTATGCCACACTACTGCAGTAAGCGACTGCAAATATTATTATTATTTTTTTTAAGTTTTAGAAACTCAACAACGTCAAAAATGCTAAATGCATACACATTAGTTTACATTCACTTTCATATCTTCTCACATAAAAATTGCGGGCCCCACCCCTTATGTGAGAGAGATGTGAAAATATATGTAAACCAAGTGTGTAAGTTTAGTATTATTCAAAGAAAATTCATGCGGTGGCATAACAAAAGTTATTTGTACAATTATTGTTGACAATTTAAATGTTGTCAAAATTCGAACGATTAATTTAAAAAATAATTTTAAAAATAGATAAATGTAATGCTATTAATATGAAGTTGTCAACCAAAAGTATACAAGTAACATGATTCTAACAAATTACAATATTTTTGTTCACGTAAGTTAAAAATGCCCCCAAATTTTCATAATAAATATAGATTATTACTAGGGGTGGGCATGGGTTCGGTTCGGTTCGGTTCGATTTTTGTCTCAATTCAAACTCAACCCAACATAATCGATTTAATCATAATTTAACTCAATCTAACACGTGTAAAGGTTGAAATCCAACTCAATCAAATATCGGTTGGGTTGGTTGGTCGGGTTGGGACAACTTATCAATAAAGACTAAAGTAATCGAGTCGGGTTGGACGGATTTATAATTGATTCATGACTTATATAATATTTGGTCACCATAGTTGCAATGAACAAAAAAATTTGAATTATTTTAGCACTTCATACCCGAAAATGTTATATGAACAGATTGATATTAAATTTTATGAAGTGAATAAATGTTTTTGGCAATTAAAATATTTTTGTGTTGAATGTGTATTTGCTTATACTATTTTTCGTAAAATGTATTATATCTAAGTCTTNCCAACCTAAACCAGTCTGGTTGGTTCTGTTTGGGCGATTTTGGCAGGTTCGGTCGGATTTTGCCCACCCCTAATTATTACATCCTTACCAGTCGTAAGAATAATGTTGTGTTAAAATGTCTGTTTAATGGTTTAAGATAAGGGTGTCCAAAAGTTTCGAACCGAATCAAGCGGTTCTTCATAAGTTAAATATCCGAACGGGTTCTCGAATCGAGAACCGATGAGGGAGTTTGGATCGAGTCTCGAGTCTAGACGAATAACCGAATAAGAACTGAAACTAAATAATTTTTTTTATTTTTTATATTGAATTAATTAAATTATTTTATTTTTTTATAAAAAAATTAGCAAATTAATTAAATAAATCAGATTATTTCATAATGGGCTACGTTAATTTGTAAAAGTTACGAATGAAATGTCATTAGTTGTTATTTATGTAGTGTTGCTTTAAATATTAAAAAATTTAATTATGGTAGGAATCGAACTTGAACGATTCCATAATTATATTTGGACCCGACGGTTCCATTTATTAAATACCCGAAAGTTTTGAGTCGGTTCGATTCTCTTCATAACCGAACTGACACCGAACCGACCCACGAACAACACTAGTTTAAGATGCACTAAGTGGTCCTAAATGATAAGTTTAACTTCATTTTTGTCTGATCCCATTTTTTAAAATTCATTTTTTCTTATATTAATTTTTAATAAAATAATTTTACACATAAATTCAAAAATTTTCTCTACTTTTTTTTACGCATACTCCAAAAAATTGACTTTTGCATAATCAATTTTTAAAATCTCTATTAAACATGAGCTTGATCTATGTTTACATTTAATTGGACATATATAAAATGAGTGGCTCCTCCAAATTAATTGTTTCAAAAATAATTGAACTTAGGTCACCTTAAGGAGACTTTAACGAACTTTAAAACATCATTAAAATAGCATTGAACGTTGTCAAAATGCTCTTCATTTAATTGTTAGGATTCTGTTCGATAGCTTGGATGGAGCTGCTTACTTGAAAGGGAGAATTTACACGCGGCACAATTTACCTTCCAAATTTTACAACTATTCATGAATGGAGAACATTTTGACAAAGTTCATGATGTTTCGACAACATTTTGATGTCCAGTTAAGTACCATGATGCAACTTAAAGTTCTTGTCTATGGAACAGTTAACAATAGACGACCCGACCGGACCGAACGAAGGATGTAATTTATTAATTTTAATTAAGGGTACTTTCCTTTGAGCTGTTTATGAAAGGATGACTATATTACCATCACGGTTTTTATTTCATACACCATATTTTAATTCTAGTTAAACTTCTCAATCTTTGCTCATTGTAGAAATTATTTCTTAACTTTTTTCGGTCGAAATTTTTATCTCCAACTTTTCATTAATTAGTATATCTCGTCATTGATGATGATTTAGATCAAAATATTTTACTTTCATATTTTGAAACGAGGGAAAAATATTAATTCTCAATATTTATTTATCTATTTTTAAAAATATTACGAAAAAATAAGTTGTTCTACGCAATTTTAATGGACTTTTGAATATAAAACCGTTATCAAATACAAAATGTGTTATCTAATAAAAGTTTGAAGATAAGAGTGACATAAAAAATTGTTATGGATATAAGAGTTATAATAAGTAAAAATTAAGAATCCTAACTCCTAAGCGTAATTAAAATGTGGTACAAAAAATATAATTTGTAGTGTGAATATAAGAACCTATTATAAAGAACCGTGCTACTTGTACAGGGGGTGGGGTGGTGGGTTTGTTGACAATCTCTCACACATGGGATGGGTGGGGATGTTATTATTATTTTTTTAATCACAGTGGGACCCACCACTATAAGTGTGTTGTCAACCACTTCGGTCAATTGTTGCTGTACAAATGGCATTGATGTTTAAAACAAGTTTTGAGTGATAGAATTGCCAAATGGCAAATCACAATTGGTTGGTGGAACAAAAAGTTTTTCTACCAACCAATACAGAATTGCCACTTGGCATGTCACCCTGGGTGTTAAAATAGCAAAACAGATTATCAACCACGCCGATGGCAATAACAGACAACCCGAACCCGAAGGACAAGTGATTGAATTGGGCTTTAACTTGAACGTCAGAAGGTTGGCCCCGTCATTGACACTTCGTAAAATTTGGCCCATGATTGAGTTTGGATTAGGGAAATTACAAAAAATCATGTGTTTAAAGATTGGATTTTAAAAATTAGGTCTACAATTTATTTATTCAAAATTCAGGTATTATATTAAAACCCTAATTTATAACCTAATTTATCTCTCATCCCTTCCCCTATCTCTCTCTCGCGCCTCCATCCTCTTCCCTTCTCCCTCATCTTCCTTTGTGCAGCATCGCGATGACGCTGCTCAGTTTGTGGCAGCGTCACAACGCCGTTCGCGCTCAGCGTCGACATCGCGACGTTGCAACCGTTCGCAGCATCGCAACACTGCCGACATGAACGACAGCATGGTGGTGTTTTGTGCACAGCAGCGTGGTTGGTGGTGGTGTTGATAGTCATCCGGCGGTGATGGTGGTGTTTTATGTGGTTGGATGCGACGATGGTGTGGTGTATTGTGTGGTTGGATGCGGCAGTGGTGGACTGGTGGTAGTGTTTTGTGTGCTGGTGGTGGTGGTTGTTGCGATGGTGGTGTAGAGGTGTCAAGACGGATGGGCCGGCCAGACCCGTGAAAATTGGGACCGCGAGCCGATTCGTGACCCGTGCGGACTGTTCACCGGCCTTGGGAGGTGTAACCCGCGGGCTTCGCGGGTTGCACCCCCACGGGTCGCGGGTTATAAAAAAAATTGAAAAAAAAAAATAACAAAACCGTAAACCATTCGTTTGACTTTTTTTTGTATGGAAATTGTCAAAAAAAGTGAAA